GTTTACTTTCTTAGAGATGAGTCGGGATACAAACGTACCTCTAAGGTGCCATACTTTCAAGCCCGTATCCCGTAACCACGTTATTAGAGCCAGAAATTTCTGGTTTTACAGCAAGCACTGCACACCTGTCTGCCCGCAACGTTAGCAGTTTTAATAAAAAAAAAAAAAAAAAAAAAAGATGTATTCTAATAGGTTACGTACGACGTTATATTTAGATATAGCAGTATTAAATTTAATGAAATCTGTGCAATGGTTTGATAGTCAGGCAGCATTTAAATTGTTGGTCGGGTTAGTGTTACGGGAGCCTCTAGCTGGTCGTAGTTTTGCCGGCACCAACGAACCGGGCAAGTCAAGGTCTTGTTTCTGGCCGGACCATTACCCGGTTGGGCTCGCGTTACTGTTGGTCGAGCTGCCCCCAGCCCCATAGACTCTTCCAGAGGGCCCGAATCGAAACGGGCGTCGTATTCCAGTCGGCTGGTTGGTCGATGTTTTAGTAGAGTAGGAGTCGAACGACGCATATCTTAGTTTGAACTAATGTAGGCAGATCCGTGGGTCAGCGGTGACGGCTAGCAGCAGAACCAGCGGTGATGGTTGAGCAGATGATCATGGTGATGAAGGGGGTTATCTTTAGTGTTGTCTGGGATGCATCTTCACTCGGGCCGCTTCTGTCGTTTGGACAGTTCCAACGTTGTCCAAGCTAATGTGGAGGCGATGTTGTCCTTGAACGACAAAGCTTTGGCCCGCGAGTATCTCCTGTAGCGTAACATAACGAAGTCCCATATAGTGACAATGCAGAGCAGTTAGCTAGCAACGGTTGAACGGAGCAGGGCCACTCAAGCAGTTGGCTGCCGCAGTAATAGTAATAACTGTTTCGTTTGTTTGTCCATATAAATAGATGGATGGATAGATAGAACCAGCACAAAGAGACTCCACAGCTCTACATATCGACAACGGCACACAGAAATAGCTCAGACAGTTCATTCTGCCGCTGAAGACCGATATCTTCAAGTGTAATCCACCATTGTCCATGCGGTTTTTACCAACTTCTGAGTTCAGGACAAAAGCCTTTTACCAAACACGCGCACCTTAGGCTTGAACAAAAGCTATACGTAGCTGTATGTGGTCGACTAGTCAGAAAACTGAATCTTGCGAGTAAAAATACTATAACATTTACGCTAGAGCAGGAAAGGGGTGACGGGTGCAACCGTTGCGATCGCTGGGACCCTGCTTTACACTTAGATTATGTTTAGATAGCTCTTATTCCGGGCGTGTGAGGTACCAAAGAAATGCGGCTAACATCGGGTACCGATCTTGCCTACCGGTGAGGCTTCTAATAGTGGTGTTCGATGTATCGTCATCAGTAAGTGGCTACTTAGCATACATCCATATGAAGCAAAAGGTCCCATTTGACAAATATAAACTCGTGTCGAATACATGTATGACACTGGACGGATCTCGATTCCAAGAGCAATTGAGGTGCGTCAGGCTGATGTTTATGTGTTGTGAGTGATCATGATACGCATTCGAGGAGCCGGACGACAACTGCAGCTGTTGTCTCAGTTACGGCGTCTGCTGGGGCCGGCTGCTGTGATATCGTGTTTTGAGATGCCTTCCCGCCCTCCAGCAAGAGTGCCCGCATATATAATCTCTTTAGCATCTATCTATCTATCTATTGCTTTCTTGTCTGTAGCTCTAATACACTCAATCACACCTTGACCCAGAGAACGTCGAGGCGCTCTCCGCCTTAGCTGGTTCCTCGCCTCGACCTTCTCGTCTCCACGCGCAACCAGCTGCATTGATTTGAGCCTGCAAGCGGTGACAAAGCCGGTAAAGACCCCGAAGCACTGTCGACTGTAGTATCAGTAACGATAGGTCCTCCTTTCTTCCGACCGATTGACGACTATTCTATGACTGCTTGTCTGTAATCTGGTTGCCATTGTCCTTCTCCCTTAAACGACTCTGTGACGATGCCCGTAACGAGGCTAGTAGCAGGACCGGTGGTGCCAGCATTGCTAACCACCCGCGGCGGCATTGGCGAGATCACTGCTATGCTGACGTCCTCGGCCCAGTCTACGTTGAGATGGCTTTCTCCGGTACGGCAATGCAGCTGCAATGATGACGGCTACTGGTAGCCGTACCGCCAAGCGCTCACTTGTCGGTGACGACTGCTTCTCGGTCGTTTCTGCCTCTCTCGGCTGACCAACTGGCTCTCTCTGTGCCTAGGTCAAGGACATTCGCGCCCGCGCGCGCCACATTGAGCCACTATTGCGACCGCCACCATAACTGCAGCCGCCGTCGTCCCCGTAATACTAGCCTTAGAGCTAGCAGCTAGCGTGACATTCGCAGACATGGAGACACGCTCGCAATAGGATCAACAGCACGAGGAAGAAGCGGTGATGTGAAGTGGTGACGTGAAGCGGCGATGGTGGGTGTCTTCCTCACGGGTTTGCCCGCGTCCAATCCTCTCTGACACACACTTCCTTGAAGCGTCGCTTCATTTCCGTATTGTCTTACGTCGCAGACGGTCTCCACTTCAGCTTTTACTTTTTTGTTGTCAGTCTCCAAAAGTTTATTGCCGCCAATTGTACCGTGCACGGCGCGCCTATCGTCATTTGCGCGAACTGGTAACAAATCTCATTTCCTTGTGTTGTTCCATTTTTCTCCCTCCCTTACTCGTGCCCCATTCAGTCGTCTGCCGTCGTCCTCGTCCTGTGTCTCATACTTTTTGGTTCCTTGTTCTTTCGTATTTTTTTTTTTTACTTTGTATGTGGCCCATAGCTGGTGCAGCATCATTTGTGGCTGTAGTCTCTGAGCCACCATTCTGACTGCTGCCACTTCTTCAGCAGTTAACGACCCTCTCCCACGATTCCGCTCTCTCCGGGCCCGTGGGTCCTCTCCGACCTTGGCCCAGTTTGTGGCCCTTCGTGATGTTGCGGCTGTGTAACCGCCTGCACGCTGCTACGTTGTGGGATGTCTACGGCCGCTGCTGCTGTTGCTGCCGCTGGCTCCCGCTATAGTGGAAACCAGCCGTTGTTGCTCTGGCTCGCGATGCTGGTGCTGTTCCGAGCGGGTGCTTACATCACGTTTTAGGGTAGAAATGACGGTAGCACCGGCAGCGGCTGCGACAGCGGCTGTTGGTCCTCCTCCTCGCGGCGGCATCGTCATCGTCGTCGTCGTTCTCGTTGTCGTCGTCGCTCGACCCTTTCCCGAGCGCTTTCTCTCTCCTTCGCGCAATGTCCGGGCGCGCGAGGCGGGCCGCGAGCAAGCAAGCATGCATGCGCTTGCAGAAGTGCCTGGATACCCGTAGCGAGCGCCACGCCGTCTGTTGTTGCCACCATTTCTAGTACTGCTACTTTTATCATATATCACTATCACCACTCGTACAACGAAAGCTGCCATTGCTACTCTGATTTGACTGAGTCAGTTCCTTCGACTGCCATTATTACTGCGACAGCAACTTCTTCTGTTGTTGTCGTTACTGCCTATACTACCTAAATACTCAGTTGTTATATCGTCGTCACTGATACTACGAATACTGTAGTACCGACGGTGGAGAGCAGCTACTATCTGTCTATACGTCTGCTCGCTCATCGAAGTATCTCGTGCTATTTCTATTCAGCGACAATTGAACTAGAGAGAGCTTGCTCGCGCAGTGCTGTCAACTCACGCTAATCTGCCGTCCTGATGGTTATCGGCAGCCACATGAAACTGCCCTCAGCAAAAAGGGCCTACACCCAAAAAGGGTTTATGGCTTGTTGGATGCAATGAACGACCACAATGTGTAGTGTGCCTATTCCTGTCGTAGACTACCCTTATGGCTGACATTGAGCGTAACGTCGTCAAAAGATCGTTCTACTAAGAGGACCTTTATGAAACGAAAGTTAAATACGGAAATCTAAAATGTCTTTCTTGTTGCCTGCCAGCTCGACGCGCGACGGCTCAACTACGGCGACTAAGTGTACCTGATTTTTCAAGTAAATCAAAAAGTGGAATTATAACAGTTATTAATTGATCGACGATCAGTCGATCGATCATATATACATCCATTATTACTTCACCCATTCCATTTCCCTTCGAGGAGAAACGAATAAGCAAGCTAATCATCTAGCAACTTCCTACGCATCTGTCCATCAATCAAGTTGCCTGTTGTCATCAGTCTTCAGTGGTGGTTAGTTGTCGTTTCTTCCTTCGCCGGCAATATAACTAGCTAAGTTAATCGACGACAGTGTCCCTCTCCTGTGTCTTGCGGTCCGCAAGAAACAACACAAATCGCAACTTTCATCCGATACGGTGACAATACGAACGAAACGATCCACAAAAACCCCTATTACTGCTACGTACAGCCCCATACGAGCTAACAGCGCCGTGTGTGTGTGTGTGCGTGTGTTGTGCGTTTTGTGTTTTCGCAGTCACGTGGGACACGTGTCTATTAGTCTGAGTGTTTTAGCTGTATCTCACGAGACGTAGATGCGGCAACTGTGACAAGCCTGGTGACTGCCTCTATTCGGATTACGTGAACTTATGTGGTTCTTCCCTAAACCTCGTCATTCCCATCACCCTCATCAACAACAACAACGACCGCCACCACCACGACGACGACGACGACGACAACAACAAGAGCAATTGACAAGCGTGCTACTAAGTCTTATCACACGTTTGTCGGCAAAACAAAGTTATTCCTATCCTCCTCCTCATCATCATTATCCTTATCATCCACATCAACATCATTAATCAAATTAGACGTTGCCAAACAACTATACATAGTCGTCTCGTAGTGCTATCGGCTTCATAGTGCTCTACCATCACTACACTGCCGTGTGTCCGTGTGTCTGTGTGTGACGTGTAATTGTTGTTTTTCTGCTTCTGCGAAGGAGCAGGTCGCTTTTGTATTTCCTCAATATTTACAATTGCTTCGACACTGGACTATCTGAGCGCGCCCCTAGTGGCGACCCCAGCCATTACAATGGCGTCATTCATGGATAATTTTTACTTTCCCACAGGGCCGAACCAGTACAGTGCGGATACGTATCAGCCTCCGGTCAACGTGATGGCAGTCAGTGGAGTTGCAGGGGTTACTGGTGTGTCAGTGGCACCGCCCCCTGGTGCCGTTGTTGGCCACGCTAATCCCTCCCTCGAACTTGCGGTCATTTCTCCGACCAACTCGGCCGCACTCGTCACCTCGGCGGATTCCAAGGAGGGCATCGAGGAACTGTGCCCAGTCTGTGGTGATAAAGTGTCTGGCTACCACTATGGCCTACTTACGTGTGAATCCTGCAAAGGCTTCTTCAAGAGGACGGTTCAGAACAAAAAGGTCTACACATGCGTGGCTGACAGATCGTGCCACATCGACAAGTCACAGAGGAAAAGATGCCCCTTCTGTCGCTTCCAGAAGTGCCTCGACGTCGGGATGAAACTCGAAGGTGAGTACCCACTGATAATTAACTTCGCTTTTTTCCTCTTTCTATAACTATATTAACTGTATACTAAGCTTAAGATGTAATCAAGTTATACTGCTAATATATATATGTATATATATGTAAGCATATATGTATACGTATATACAGAAGTGGCAGTAACATCTGGTGATTGAAAAGTTAAATTCTGCAAGTAATCGTAGCGATTTATATGTACTTTTACAACATTATCAAATGTTAACAGTGTAGAAAGCGGTCGTTAAATGTCGTAGTGAACACGAAGGCTGCGCACAGATGTCGGGGAATCAGGACGATAGGGTAAAGGCTACCATCTCGTACAGCAACTAGCGAGAGCAACAACCCTTGCATGATTATTGCCGCGCAAAAAAATCACTTAGTTCGCCGCTATCAGCGGCAACAGAAACAAAGAGCATTGCTACTCATATCATAACCATCATTAGCTTTGCCGTTGACAGTGCTGACGTTGCAAGGTTCCGTATCTCCAATGCCGCAAGCATTTTCGCCATACGGCATACAGCTGTTGAGTCCCCCCATTCTCTCGGGGTTTGCTGGTACGAGTTCTCTGTACGTGCGCCCTCTCCGGCGTCGCTGCGCTCTCTTTTAAACGCTATCAATATGATTGCTACTGATAATCCTCGTTGCGTCCTGCATAAAGCAAAATCTACCTAAATATAGTAGTTACTTAGGAAGATGGTCCGATCTGGAACAGAAACTGGCCGTAGACACGCTCTGCTTCGAGCTGGGAGCCGCACTGCTCGGCAACAGTACCAGATGTAAAACTCGAAACATTTATTTAGTGCCGGTTGTTGCACTAAACGTAGCAGTAGCCATAACAGCTGTATTGTCAATATATCGCAGCGTCAACAGAGGTAACAACAACTAAAATTGCATTAACGGCTGAAACCAATTTTGACACTCACGTGTAACAGACTGCTCTACAGGTACAGTCTGTATGTTTTAGGGCGTTTATAGATGCGTGTGTACATGCCGTGCGGCGTGTAGTATGCGTGCCGCTTTTAGTCCCTCGTTTCTTCAATCGCCTCAGCCCCTCAGTACCCGTCTAATTGTTCCTTTTTTTTTTTTTTTTTTTTTTTTCTATGGCTCCTTTGCTTTTTGTCTGCTTATTTTACGCTGCTGTACCCTTTTGTATTCTGTCACGCTGGTTTCGATTCTTTGCGGTCCCCTTCAGGCTTGCCTTCGGCGCATCGTTCTCGAAGAATAATATGTCGGTTGACGAAGATGGTGACAACGAAGTAAAAACGACGCGTCGCTATTTAAAGTTACAAGCTGAGAGGCGCGTCACGGCGGAACGCTATTGACACTTGTTGGTTTACTTGAACAGTGGTAGCGGCCGCGCTAGATATTCGATATATTACTATTAATGTCGTCAGAGTATCCGCATTGTCTTCGTACGTATGCGTGGACGTCTGTGGTCGTTCGCCGTGTCTGTGTTTATTCGCTCTGTGTTTATACACCTGTGCGGCTGAACGAGTGAGAAAGTGCGTCTGTCTTTTCTGTCTGCTACTCTGGAATATTGGTTGTTTGGCGGGCCGGTCGGCAACGATTGCATACGCGCAGCAGCTGCCGCCTCTTGTTTCAGCGGACGGGCCAGCTCTGTTCTGTCTGGACGATCGCCAAACAAACTAAGTAAATGGAATTCAGCGGACAAACAAACAAGCAAACGCACGGCTGGACGCTACGACGATACGCGTTATACCAGCCGATCGTCTGCTGCCGCTGATGCCGAAAGACACCGTCTACAGATCTGGACGCTAAGAACAACAATAAGCTTCACCTAACATCAACGGAGATTGACTTCTCTTTATCAAACCTATCTAGCTTGGACAGTTCTACGCCTTCGAGTACTATAAATGTCTCGCATGTATGCATAATTTGTCAATGGGCGTAAACGGCATTAATAACAGGGGGAGCACCGGTAACGGCACAAAGATAAACATGATTTACTATGATTATTATTATTATTATGATATATTTATCTATTCGAATGGAGGTCGTATGACCTCAAAATAAGATGAAGCTAGTTATGATACGAATTTCAAATGAAATCGTTGTTTTTATCAAAATAGTCAGTCGTAGACTGAGGTTGCCACGTGAGAAAGTATTCATATTAACCCTTTGGTTAGTTGGTGTCAGCTATCTATATATCATATAGGTGACTTAGTTTTAAGGAACTATCGTCCAGGACACAGAGCACACAATATTTAAGTTTGTAGTTTATCATCATGTTCAGCCAAAATAATAACTTTGACTTAGGAGATCAAGGTAGAATTTATTCAGTAGTCGCAACCGTTGCCCGTGATGCCTGCCGCAATAGAGCGCTTATTATTAGGGGACATTTTAATTCGGCGTAATCGATGCAAAAAACACCCGGTCGCTATACATACGTGTTGCAGTGAATTTTCTCTATTGTGCCACTTCTGGTTGTAACTAATTTCAATAACCACCGGTCCACGCTGACTCTACAAATTGGCTGGGAAGACAGGTTTTCCGACGGTGATGGAACCATCACCACACAATGATCGACCGCTATCACGCAATTACACAATTTTTCGACCTGCTGTTTTCATTTTTGCCATGTTTTCTAAATTGTCGAATACAATACTGCCACATTGTAATCCGTACATCGTTTCTGTAACCGACAGCTAACGTCGCGCTTCGTTGAACGGTCGATATAGGATCTTCGAATTGTTACGTACGACCTTCATTAACTGGAGTAAATTTTTGCCCAGCGCCATCTTACGCATGAGGATTTTTTCTATTGTCGTTGGCTAGTTAACAGCAGAAATCCTCACATCGATATACAGCGTGTAAAGTGTGTAGTAAGTCCAAGATCTCAATGAAATTTAAAAAAAAAAACAAGCGAAATTACGCGGCTACTTGAATCGATAACGGAGAGTTATAAAAAAATGTGACAGAATTGAAGCAGTATAGTTTATGAGGCAAAGATCTCTTGGATAGTTTAGTTGCTTTTTAGTTCGTCAATGTAGCGGCTATACAGGGAAAAGGCACTTCGACCATAATGGAACGAACCGTGTACCGATATTTTCTCTCTCTCTCTCTCTCTCTCTCTCTCTGTCCGTCGTCGCAGCTACTCTGTTTTGTCTCTGCTGGTCGTCTGATTGAGCGTGTCCCTCGATGAAGCGTATCAGAGCAGAAAGCAGGGAGTCAGACGATGGCGTATAAGCATGGCAGACAAGACAATGACCGCTGTGGCAGTAGTCGGGTGGGTGTTGTACATTGGACCAAGTATAGTAGAATGGAGCAGCGATTCGCGCTGGAGCTTGGCATTCCAACAGTGGCAGATATCGGTCCGGCGCACTCACCAGTCCCAGCCGTCCACTTTCTGAGATGCTAAAAGCGCCTAAGTAAGGCCCAGGGACCTCTTCACGTAAATATTCATCCAAATCCATTCCTGTTTTTGAATGTATGGCAGGCCGCCTGCTTCTCATGTCGTTCACCTGGTCACTTTTACTGGCCACCGCAAGCAGTGCGACCGCCGCTCCTGCTGACAGTGTCCATAGTATACGACTTGAAAACCGCACGCTCTGAACTCAGCTACATAACATCGAAGAAGCCGTCTCTGCCATCGCCGTAACGACACCTGGTACATACTCTTGCTGCTGCCCTCTGCACGACAGTCCATATCTGCAGTGGTAACGTACCAAGCGACTGCTGTTGTTGAGGCGTCGTACAGATGTAAATGCCGGTATACAATCTCTGTTCTTGTCGTATGGACACGCAGGTTGTTTACATACAAACCACCCAACCCTACCAAAGTTAGAGACGTTTTTTTTTGTCCAAAATGGCGGTTTAACGTTAACGCCAATTAGGAAAGCTCGAGAAAGAATTCGTGAAGCGAATAGAAGAATTCTCAACAGAGTTTAGCTTGAAAGGATCTTAAAGCCCATCAGAACAGTTAAAAAAAACTATTATTGATATTTTCAAAATGGAGATTAACAGTCGCTTTAGGAAGAAGAACATCCACGAATGGTCGGATCCTCCATAGAAGCGTCTCTTTAAGACTTTTTGCATGTTTTCATACCATTTAAGCTTTTCGTCCATTTAAAGCCCTTGCACTTTTGTTATCAGCCAAAAATTTGATTCCGTCAAAACGTTTGGTGCACGACGTGTTTGGGTTACACCTTCATAAATTAATATCATTTGACACATGACTATTATTAAAAAGTTCCTTGCGAACTAAAGAAAGAACATTTTACAAATAACTGGTTTGTAAGCTAAGTTTCAAATTAACACTGTAATCGCGGTAGAGGATGATTATATTGAGTAAGCATAACTACCATAAATTATACATCATTCTATAGACATTCGTCATGTCTATAAAAATTCGTTGAAGTACTTGTTTTTGTTGAAATACATTCTTAGGAAAAAAAAAAAAGCATAAGAAAAATTGTAAATTTATGTAGTCACGCTCTTTATATGTAGAAGTGGGTGGTGTCACATGGGCCAAAATTTGCCTAACGCTGGAATCGAAAGAAACTGGCTCTGTAGAAATGGAAGCAATCATATTACTATATTCATTAAGGACGCTTCTAATATATGGCCAAACCTGACCACATAATTTCATCTGGTCTAATTTTTAATATGTGGCTTCACTAACGTCCATTCAGAGAGAAAAAATCACTTCAGAACATCTATTACAGCCCTACAAGGAGGGATTATATGGGCCAGGGGCGGGGCTATACGGGCCACGAAGGATTCGATGCAAAGAGGTCTGTTATCCAACAAAGCTAAAAGGAAACCGTTTTTCAATTTTAAAAACGGTTTTAGCTAGAAATATCTATGCTTTGTATTAGTTTGTTGTCAAGTTAGGCAGGTTAAATGTTGCCAGTTGTTTACTAAAGATCCGCTACACCGTGTGGAAGCTTTTTTCTTTTGAATGGCCTAAGTACTTGTAGATAGAGGAATTGCAACTTATTCGAAAACTATGGACGGACAATAACAAT